TGAGTCATATCAGAATAACAGAGAAACAAATGCAGGACGTTAATGTATTAGAAAATATTTCAGTCTGTGTGAATATGTAATTTTATAGCATTTGTAATAAATACAGTTATTGAATATGATTAATAATATTTGTATTGCAGTAAAAAAAATAATAACATAAATGGTATTGCTTGAAATTCAGAATAACTTACCTTTATAAATTGCTCAGTATTGTGTTGTAAGTTGATGGCTTTTTAACTGACTTGAAAAAGCTTAAGAGATGTATGTAGATGAATATTTGAATATATATTTTTGGACACCTGATCGTAAAGCAGTTGATCCCATATAGTAAGTGTTGTTGAGTGACCCCTCCCTCTGCCCCCTCCTGTCCCTCTTATAGCTCATCCCTGCACTCTCTCCTTTATCTGCTCCTCAAGCTGCTCATCTCTTCACTCAGCACAGAGAGTCATCACACACTGACAAGATGCTGCCAGCACTCTGCTCTCTCTTCACTGCTCTCTCATGTAAGATCTCACAACACTGGAGCTCCTCAGCATTCGCCTACATCTAATGTGAGCACCAACAAATGTAACATGGATGCTGCTTTTATTGCAGGTGTCAGTGGTGTGACTGTGGTGACACAGAAGCCTCCTGTTCTCACAGCGACTAAAGGAGAGAAGACCACTATGCACTGTAATCTGGGCACTGTTACTAATCAAGCTGCAGGGTGGTATAAACAGGTTCCAGGAGGAACTACACAGTATGTGATAAGTAATTATCATGGCTGGAGCTCTCCTAAATATGGATCTGGCTTCTCCTCTCCTAAATTCACATCAACACACTCATCTCAATCAGATTACACTCTGATCATCAGTAATGTGGAGGTAGGAGACTCTGCAGTGTATTACTGTAACACATGGGACAGCTCTGCTAGTGAGGTCGTCTCACAGTGATTCTCGTCATGACAAAAACCTCACTGCTCACATTCACTTCTGCTTTCAGACGGCATGTGAATAACAAAAATCTCAACAGGAACCCATATGGCACAGATGACTTTTCCCATGGTGCATTAAGCAGGGCAGGACAATTTGCCTGTAATCTAAACCAGATTATACTTTTATTATTGATAATGTGAAGTGATAAACTTTGGGTAAAATTTCACTGTCATGGCTTCATCTGAGGTTTATATGAATTTTCAGAGAAGCAATTTAACACTGATTTAGCCTCTTTCAGCTACTCAGTGCTGTGTGTGTGCAGAATAGTGTGATGTTTGTGATTGAGTGGACAGAGTGAGTTGTACACTCTGAATCCCATCAGAAGAATTAGGTCTAAAGAAAGTGATGGTATAACAGAGAATGAACAAGGTACATGTAAGTGTGCAGAATCTTTCTTTACCACAAATCACACTCAAACACTGTGCAAGGTGAGGTGGTTTGGGGCAAATAGAGTTTGTAACAGATTTTGTTTTATCCCCACATTCGGCATCAGTGGTCTAAATTACACAGCATTATACAGCCCTGGTGTTTGGCAGCTCAGTTATACTAACTTGTATCTTTACTAACTAGTTATGTTGCACAAAACAAAGGTTGTCACCTCTAACTCTGAAAGAAGGTTTCTTCCAGCACTCTGGCTGTTTCTCATCCGTTTTAAAGTGGAAGTGCAGACTGGCACGACGTGTCAAAAACGGAAACAAGGCGTCTGTCAAAAACGGCAGGTTGTCTTTCGCTCGCCACTCACTGCTGGTGTAGACAGTTTCGTTGATTATAATGTGAGCCTTTTCATTCTATTGTTGTCACTCACTTCACTTCCTGTTAGAACATGGTGTTAGCCATGTAACAAATAATCAGAGCCGTACAATCCTCAAAGCATTCAGAAAACTCAAGAGATCCTCTGTATAGACCTTATTTAGATTGAATGGAGTTGAAAACACTGAGAAACACTGACATACTGAAAAGGTAAATGTTCTTTGTGGTGAACAAACTCACAGCTGTATCTCTAATCAGCTCACTGGCTGGTTAGAGATCCAGGCTCCTCCCTCAGCTCCTTATGAAAGCTTCCTCCACTCTCTCCTCTCTTCATCCTCCACTCTGTTCATCACTCTGCTGATCACACAGACATCATGCTGCCAACCCTCTGTGCTCTCCTCCCTGCTCTGACATGTAAGATCTCTCTTCCTGCTTTTCTCTGTACATTGATGAGATCTGTTTGATTAGGATTGTGTTTAAAATTATATTGATGCTCATGAACTCCAATGTTGCTTTATGTTTTAGGGGTCAGTTCACAGAAAGTTCTGACACAAACCCCTTCAGTACTAACTGACCAGGGCAGAACTGTCAGTCTGGACTGCAACATCACAAAGGTTGAAGGCCAATACGTCTCCTGGTATAAATAGATTCCACCAGCAGCTCCTCAGTTTGTGTTGAGATTTTAGCATTCTTACAGCTCTCCTGATGAATATGGAGATAATTTTCCATCTTCACGCTTCACATCTAAAGCCTCTTCGAGTATCAACTACCAGTTAATAATCAATAATGTGGAGGTAGGAGACTCTGCAGTGTATTACTGTGGAACACAGAGCAGCTCTGTTAGTGAGTGGGTATCACAATGATTCACACCATGACAAAAAACCTCCTCACTGCTCACAATCACTTCTGCTTTCAGACAACAGATGAAACACAGAAACCTCAACAACAACCTGCACTATTGAAGTGAGAACTAAGCTGCACTCAATGTAATCTATGTTCCACAATGTCACCTTCATATGTTTTGCTATAATGGACCAATAACCAGAGCACTTTAGAAAAAGCAGCATTTTAGTTGTTCTAAAATGCCTTGTGTACTTTTTAAAATTTATTGTTCTCTTTATAACCAGAAATCCAGCTACTGTTTTGTGTTCTATTAACTGAGTATTATGATGTTTATGAGAGACCAGCTTCTCACTGCACACACTGTTATCTATACAAGTATTAATCTGAATAATGAATGCAGTGAAATATTCTCTAAACATCATTATGGCAGTTTCACATGAGAATGTGAGATCATGTAGATCAATATCAGCATCATGTTGAACTACTAGATTACAGAATCTAAGACTACTGTCTTTAAAATTATGGATTCATCATCATCTTTAAGTAACATTGCAAAGAATGAAGGCGATTCTGAGTACTGCTATAATCAGATTCCTCAAGCGGCTCCTCAGTTTGTCTTAAAATGTTACCATTCTCAAAGCTCCCCAAGTCATTATGGAGATGATTTTCCAGCTTCACATCTAAAGCTTCTTCAATCATCAAGTACCAGTTAATAATCAGTAATGTGGAAGTAGGGGACTCTGCAGTGTATTACTGGGGAACATGGGCTGACTCTACTAATTCGTACATATCACAGTGATGTAGATCATGACAAAAAGCTCCTCACTGCTCACATTCACTTCTCCATTACATTCAGCTCATTTCTCACCTGGAGCAGAAAAGTTAATAGAGTGAGTTAAAAGCTGCAGTTCTCTTGAGCAGGATGTGTGAAGAAATCACAGGATAACAGAGATGTGGAATTATTTTATTATTATAATTTTTACAGTATAATTTACAGCAGGTTCCTGCAAAAAGTTAATACATCTCCACAAAAATAAATGGGGAAAATACAGCGATTGTTTTTAATTATACAATGTCAACACAAAACAGACACAATTTCATTCAACAATGATTTAATGCATAACACTTATGCAGATATAAACGAGCACCCTGCCTGTGGTTGCAATAGATACTGCCAATTTAACAGTACAATTACAGTAAAATGACAATAAGATATTTTACAGTCCACAATTGTGTAATAATTGTATATTACAAGTCATTTTGCTGATAGTAACATAATAGACATTTTTATAGTTTTACAGCATTCGAAAAGAACTGTTTTTACTCATATGCTGTCAGTAATGTTATTACCAAATAACACATTACAAAATGATGACACAGCTTTTTTTTCTTTTTATTGTCTTAAAATTACAAATGTGAAACACCATGTTGAATAGAAAAGAAAAAACATGTTCAACACAAGATGTTTAAACAGTGTTTCATATTTACAGTAAGATTTTCCTCATATTTCCATAAAGATCTCTTTATGTATCATAGAAAAAAAACACAGTATGTCAGCACAGCAGTCAGACCTTTACCCCTGCAAACTCCAAAACTAAAGGATCAGCAGATTGGTCGGACAGAGATTTGCTTATATTTTGAACACCCCTCAAAAGAAATAAAAGTCCCTCTGTTATGACTGCAGGACTGGATCCAGAATCAAAAGCACTGAGGTAGATATTCAGTAGATGCAACTTTACTTCACACAGTCCACATGACAAACTGTACAAACACTGTCAGGCGACACACTCAGGATACACCTGCTCACCAACACTCTATAACTTTAGCTTTATGCAAATAAAGAGGATTCTCCATTTGTTCTCTAAACAACAGATGTACAAACCTTGTAAATTCATAAAAGAAATGATTGTTTTTTAAATACATGAGTAATAAATATTGAAATGAATAGACAATAAAGAATATAATTCAGAGAATGATTACACTGATCAATATCAATACTTTGACAAAAAAAAGAAGCAGCAATTTTGAAGATGAAAAGAATTTTGAACATGGCATACTTTTAGCAAGAGCATTGTCATGTTCTCTTTTTTTGGTTATGTAGTCATAAAATGTTAGTATTGGATAAATTTGAGTGGTCCTTTTGGGTAGGCCAATGACAAAAGTGGGTGGCCCACACTGGTATCTAAATAAGGTGTATAGTTGAGTGACCCCTCCCTCTGCCCCTCCTATCTCTCTTATAGCTCATCCCTGCACTCTCTCCTTTATCTGCTCCTCAAGCTGCTCATCTCTTCACTCAGCACAGAGAGTCATCACACACTGCCAAGATGCTGCCAGCACTCTGCTCTCTCTTCACTGCTCTCTCATGTAAGATCTCACAACACTGGAGCTCCTCAGCATTCACCTACATCTAACGTGAGCATCAACGAATGTAACATGGATGCTGCTTTTATTGCAGGTGTCAGTGGTGTGACTGTGGTGACACAGAAGCCTCCTGTTCTCACAGCGACTAAAGGAGAGAAGACCACTATGCACTGTAATCTGGGGACTGTTACTAATACTGCTCGTTGGTATAAACAGGTTCCAGGAGGAGTTACACAGTATGTGTTAGGGAACTATCAGGACTGGAGTTCTCCTAAATATGGATCTGGCTTCTCCTCTCCTAAATTCACATCCACATGTTCATCTAAATCAGACTGTAATTTGATCATCAGTAATGTGGAGGTAGGAGACTCTGCAGTGTATTACTGTGAAACATATGACAGCTCTGCTAGTGAGTGGGTATCACAGTGATTCACACCATGACAAAAACTTCCTCACTGCTCACATTCACTTCTGCTTTCAGACAACATAACAATCAGCAAAAACCTCAACAGAAACCCATCAGCAAACCCAGACTAATATGCACTGTAACTGAAATCACATTATGTGTTTACAGACTTCTTGGAAAGTGAAATCATGCTGTATAATCAGTATTGTACTGTTTCTAGATTTGTTTTGCTTGTTTTGAGTCATTTTATCTGGTGCAATTTTTTTATTCTATTGGCAGACAGTTTTGCTTCTTTTAAGCATTATTTCGTGAAAATGTTTGTTTGTTTGTTTGGATGGAGTGAATTGCTGTAATCACTGAATACTACCACAAGAGGTTTTTCCAAATGAATTAATAGGATAACAGAGGAAAGTTCATTTGAAGGACTCTGTAGCAAATCTCTTCACCACAGTACATGTTCAGAGGTATCATGCAGTGTGAGCTGATATTCTCCACATCACAGCATAATCACATCTACAGACCAGCACATCTGAAAGAGGCAGTGTAAAGTATTCAAATGAAAGTTTGGACAAAAGGAACGCAGCTCTGTTCCAGGAGGGATTAATATATAACAGGAACACATTAGCATGTACACATTGCCCCTATGTAGCATCATGTTTAGATGCAGTAGTATGCAAAAGTTTAGGTGCCCCTAATCAAATTATTTCTTTGTTTTTGTTTGTGTGTTTGTTCGTTTGTTTTATTCTAAGTGACAGTAAGTTAATACACTCTCTACTGGAAACATACAAAATGTGCATATAAATGAGCATGTTTTTGCAAATTTTAGTGCAAATTTACTATTTTCTATTTACTTGACTTTAGTTTAACATACTCAAAAATTTAAAACATGAAATACCAAATGTGCCATAACGTTTGCACAGATTATTTTATGTTTTATTATTTCCCCAATATGTTAAATATAGCAAAGAAATAGTAAATGTGCGTTAAACTTTGGAGAAGTGTGTTCTAGGATGTTTTAACATCAACAAAACATGTCATTTGATCAGGTGCAGCCTAAGTTACCACTGTACAACAAATATGGCTTTGGACTTGACAGCTTTTCTGTTTAATTCAATTCAATTTTTAAGATGGAAATAAAGTTATTGAGAGTGGTTTGATGGGAAATGTTCCATTGTAGTGACACTTTCCAAGTCAAAGTTGTTCACAGTGGTGGTGATAGGAACCAGACATCTGAAGAGTTCAGTGCCTCTAAACAGTACATCACAGAAAGATATTACATGAAATTGTTATGAATATACTGCCTGATGTCTGAGATATTGTTTTTATGATAATTTTGAAAAGATTTCGGCCTAAAACTTATTTTTAAAGCCATTTTTGTTGAAAAGGTACATGCAGGCAAAATAGTCCTCAAAGAAAATGGTATTCAAAATAAAAGTCTATCAGTTTAATGGCTTATTTAAGTCAATTGCTTTAATTGTCTGTATTCCTTGTTTGTCAGTTTTGGCATCAAAATTATTTCAAGTCTTCAATGTGAACTGCTCCAATCAGTAATGCCACCCATTTGAGATCAACAACCATACCTGTTCTTTTACCTTCTTGGATGATCTTCCTCTTGTTTTAAGAGACATGATAGAGACACAAAGTCAATAAAGATACAGAACTTTGTTCACTTCTGTGCAATATTTTACTGCCCAGTGTTTGATGCCATCCAATCGGATTTTAGAAATATGCATCTCACACTACTGACAGTCACAGCCTTCCTACCTAACATCACTAAACAATTCCGCTGTTATAATATTAAAACTTACAAACACTGTTAATATTAAATCAAATACAGCTAGCTCGCTAGGTTTAAATGTTTGCCTTTGAGAACATTTAATTAGTAAAACAGTAGGATAAGCATCATAATAATGCAAAGGTTATTAAATTCAGTAAAAAAAAAACTTTCCATAGAACAGCATTAATGTATGAACAAATACTGTTGACAGCTGTGTCTGGTAGGGGTATCACAATGCACATGTTAGTATTATTTTTTTTATGAAGGTCACAAGACGATACGCACTGTGTACAGGATTCACTTAGATTTTATGCAATAAACTGCTTGATATCAGGAATGGTTTCTATTGTTCTATTTGTCACAACTTCTAAAATGATTTTAAGATCTCAGAACTGATAAGAACTGGGTTTGTTAGCCTATCTTGGATGAAGATGAAGTTAGCTTCTTATTTGCCAGCTTCTTACCTGAATTTTCCATTCAACTTCAAATCTGTAAAAATCTGACTGGAATCACATTTCAAACCATCTGAAAATGGGATCCAATGTGCAAAATTCAGATTTCAAGTGTTTTTTTTTCTGTTCAGACTATCAAATTTCCATCTAAATACAATCTGGATACATCAAAAAATCAGATTTAGGCTGGCAGTTTGAACAAGGGCAAAGTGTCCCAAATTGGAACTGAAAATGTCAGATTCTGTGTTTTTTTTGCTGTTCACACTGCCACACAGACAACACATCTGTGTCACATATAAAAAAAATCAGATTTGGGCCACTTTTACCTGCTGTATTAAGTGACGCTGCCTTGTTTGGAGCATTACAGTGCTATACAAGACAAATGAAACTATTTAAAATGTGATGTATACAGTGTCCACTTTAACTACTGCAAAAAGTTCTACACCTAATAAATTCATATTTTACCATTTACAGGAGTTATAACTTCACCCAGAAGTTATCTAATTGCTTAACTATACAATACTTTGGCGTTGGCTGGAGGTTAGGGAACCGGCCCTTGTGACCGGAAGGTCGCAGGTTTGATCCCCTGAGCTGACAGGACATTACTGAAGTGCCCTTGAGCAAGGCACCTAATCCCCAACTGCTGTGGATAGGGATACCCACCGCTCTGGGCAAGTGTGCTCACTGGCCCTTAGAGTGTGTGTGTGTGTGTGTGTGTGTGTGTGTGTGTGTGTGTGTGTGTGTGTGTGGGGGTGGGTGTTTCACTGCACAGATGGGTTGAATGCAGAGGTGAATTTCTCAGTTGTGGGATTAAAAAAGGGTAACCTCGTCATCATACATACATACTGGATGAATGTAAAGCCTATGTCACTATGAGAAAGTTATGCATTTCAGTAATTCACTGTGATGATGTGTGTACATGTGCTGATATTGTACAGATCATTATTTATTTGTAAAAAGGTTTGTAAATGCACAGAAAAACACCATGTACAACATTTATAAATATGAATACACAAATCAAGAACTACATGAACTGTCATTTACAAACATTTGTACATTTTTAAATTTTGATAATGGTTTGTTCATAGTTACTAATGGTTATTAAAAAGCCTTACCAAGAAATAAATAAATGTGAAAGTTGTGTTATTGTTTTCTAATTCTATGTTGAAAATGTATCGCTTTGTAATGCAACAACAGCAATATGTACTATATTGTGAAATTTGCACGCAGTTGCAGACCTACTGTCTGGCTACACAGACTGACTCCACTAGATACCTCTGTGTCAGAATTATTCAACCCCTTAACAAGCCAAAGTTTTATTACACACTTCTATAACCTAATAATAGCTTCATTAGTTTGCATTGAAGTCCCTATAGATTCTGAATAATAAACCCTTGTATGAAATAAACCTGGAATGTTAAGGGGTTAAATTACTTGAGGACCAGATTCAACAGGATAAATAATGACAAATATTCAAAAGTACTTGTTGCAGCATACACACAAACACACACACACACACACACACACACACACACACACACACACACACACACACACACACACTGGGTCATGGGGGGGAGCTGGAGCCTATCCCAGCAGTCATTGGATGGAAGGCAGGATACACTCTGGACAGGTCACCAGGCCTGTTGCAGTATAATGAAATAGAGAGAAATGTTTTGTAGCATCAGCATAAAAGGAGACACAGCAGAAATAATTACAGTGAATACTTTATTTTTCAATTCTGATTTATCTTCTCAAACAAATTAGCCATTTACATCTGTGTTATGAGACTTACTGCAGTCAACTGTCTGCAGACTTCATTTCAGTGAATCTTTCATGGTGCCACTAGACAAAATCTGAAGTGAGCAATCAAGATTTAATCAAAAGAGTGAGTCTCTTCACCGGAGTGACAGATGTGCAGAAACAAGCTTACTTGGACTTTTATCTTCATACAAAAGTTCAGTGCTTTCAGTAATGTTTTTTCACCCACAATACTGGATGCTTTTCTGGTTGCAAAATTCAGGATTGTCCTGTTTATTTAAGATCATATGACAGTATAACATCAATAATATGTTCAGTGAACAAAATCCACAGCCGATTGGCTGGTTAGAAATCCAGGCCCCTCCCTCAGTTCCTTATGAAGGCTTCCTCCACTCTCTCCTCTCTTCATCCTCCACTCTGTTCATCACTCTGCTGATCACACAGACAACATGCTGCCAACCCTCTGTGCTCTCCTCCCTGCTCTGACATGTAAGATCTCTCTTCCTGCTTTTCTCTGTACATTGATGAGATCTGTTTGACTAGGATTGTGTTGAAAAATTTGAATGAATACACCCTTAATAATTATCAAATAGATTAGGCATGTAATCATGGACTGTAACATCGCAAAGGTTGAAGGCATCTCTGTGTACTGGTATAAACAGATTCCACAAGCAGCTCCTCAGTTTGTGTTGAGATTTTATCATTCTCACAGCTCTCCTGATCAATATGGAGTGGAACATATACTGTGGAACATGGGATGGTTCTGCTAGACAGGTCATATCACAGTGAATGAGAGCATAAGAAAAACCTCCTCACTGCTCACATTAACTTCTCCATTTCATTCAACCCATTTCTCACCTGGAGCAGAAAAGCTGAGTTAGTAAGTGCAGTTCTGATGAGAGAGATGCAGAATTATATAATATTGTAATTTTTACAGTATAATTTACAGTTGGTTTCTGTAAAAAGGCTAATGAATCTGTACAAAAATAAATGAGAAAAATAAGGGCATTGTCTCAAATTTTGCATTGTCAACACAAAAGATGCACGATTTCATTCAACAATGATTTAATGTGTAAAACATATGCAGATATACAAGATCACACTGTCTGTAATTAGTGTGAAGTTAGTACTACAATCACAGTAAAGTGACAATAAAATATTTTACAGTGCAGGATTGTGTATTTATAGTGCATTAGTGAATTCTGCCAATAGTAAGATATTGTACCTTTTACAGTTTTACAGTTTTTTTTTCTTATACAAAATAAACATTCAAAGGAAATGTTTATACTCATATACTGACTGCAATGTTATTACCAAAATGACATGCCACTGCTTTTTTTTCTTTCTATTGTCTTAAAAATACAATTGTGACACACTGTGGGGAATTGAAGAGCAATAAAACAAACATATTCAGTATAAGATGATTAACCGGTGTTCCATATTTCCAGAAAGAGTTACCTCGTATTTCCTCTCCTTATGTGGATCACAGAAAAAAACACAGTATTTCACCACAAAGTCAGACCTTTACCCCTGCCAACTCCAGAACTAGAGGATCCGCAGATTGGTTGGACAGAGCTTTGCTGATATTTTGAACATCCCTCGAGAGAAATAAAAGTCCCTCTGTTATGACTGCAGGACTGGATCCAGAATCAAAAGCACTGAGGTAGATATTCAGTAGATGCAACTTTACTTCACACAGTCCACATGACAAACTGTACAAAACACTGTCAGGCTTAAAGGACACACTCAGGATACACCTGCTCACCAACACTCTGTCCTTTTTGGTAGGCCAATGATAAAAGTGGGTGGGCCTCACTGGTTTCTGAATAATGTGTAAAGTTGAGTGACCCCTCCCTCTGCCCCCTCCGGTCTCTCTTATAGCTCGTCCCTGCTCTCTCTCCTTTATCTGCTCCTCAAGCTGCTCATCTCTTCACTCAGCACAGAGAGTCATCACACACTGACAAGATGCTGCCAGCACTCTGCTCTCTCTTCACTGCTCTCTCATGTAAGATCTCACAACACTGGAGCTCCTCAGCATTCGCCTACATCTAATGTGAGCCTCAACAAATGTAACATGGATGCTGCTTTTATTGCAGGTGTCAGTGGTGTGACTGTGGTGACACAGAAGCCTCCTGTTCTCACACTGACTAAAGGAGAGAAAGCTGTTATGGACTGTAATATGGGGACTGTGACTGACTTCTCTGCTAACTGGTATAAGCAGCTTCCAGACGGAGCTCCCCACCATGTGCTAAGGTTTCGTATTACTTGGGGCTCTCCTAGCTATGGGTCTGGTTTCTCCTCCCCTAAATTCACATCTACATGTTCATCAATAGTAGACTGTAGTTTGATCATCAGTAATGTGGAGGAAGGAGACTCTGCAGTGTATCACTGCACCACATATGACAGCTCTGCTAGACAGTGGGTGTCACAGTGATTCAGACCATGACAAAAACCTCCTCACTGCTCACATTCACTTCTGCTTTCAGACAGCAGTAGAAACACAAAAAGATCAACAACAATCCACACTACAGAAGTAAGAACTGAGTTGCATTTAATGTAATTCATGTTTCACTATTTTATGCTCATTTTGCTTTAGTAGGCCAAAACACAGAGAACATAAACAGTAGTTTTCCTGCATTGCAGTATATTATTTTATTTCAACTTGAAATTTAGATTTTTTGTTGTTATTTTTTTTAAATAATCATAATTATGAACGAATTATGAATCTACCATCAAATTCAACCCTTGGATTGTGTTAAACAAAGTTGTTTTATGTATGGCTTTAATTTTTTCAAATGAAGTGCTCCATTGTAATTGTTTATAAATCAGTCTCATCACTTTGCTATGCTTTATCTGTTCTTAGAGATGCTTTACATAAATAACATAAAATTCATGGAGTAATAAGTAATTTTATGTGTTCAGATGTTTGATCAGTATTAATAAGTATGTTGTTCTGTAACATGTTCAGTGGACTGAAGACTGGATTTCGTCTGACATTATATGATAACAATAATTTGTTTGTAGTCAGCAGAGGAGGCAAATTCCTCAGTTTAAAAAATCTGTTAAGTGCTTAAGATGTAGTGTGTGTGTGTGTGTGTGTGTGTGTGTGTGTGTGCGTGCGTTCCGCTGTAAGTACGCTGATGCAATATGGCTGCCGCTTTACATTGGTTTTCTTTTTGTATGTTTGTTTTGATGTTTGCCTGAGAAGTTTGCCATCATATCCACCGAGATAGCGACCCAGAGTGACTTGCCAGCTATGGCTCAGAGGCTTTTTGGACTGGCTGTTTGGGTGACACTACATCTCAACTATTATGCAGCCCAGGGCTCTCTGGACTGGGGACCCGATCAATGTGACATCGCAGCCTGGGCTGGCTGCTTGGTTGATGCTGCACTGCAGCTGTGGGGCTCTATGGACCGGTAGTGTTTGGCTGCATGAACAACGCAAAGCCGCAGCTACGAGGCCTCTCGGGCCGGCTGCTTGGGTAATTAGGCTGTTAGGCTGCCTGGACTGGTGGTGTTCGGCTGCACAAAAATGCTACCCATCTGTGGCAAAGGACATCTTCGGCCTTCGAGGCTTCCCGAGCTTGCATCCTGTGTGATGCACCGTAGTTGCGGTGTGAGACTTTGAGACACAGGACACTTTTCCACTTCCCCTCAGTCCATTTTTAATGAGCTCGGACCCAAAGAAGGCAGCAGCATTTCTGGATCCTGTTTTAACTTGCAGTTGTGGATGCAGTGATGAACTGTTTTCACAGAAAGTGGTTTTTTAGAAGTGTTTCTGATCCCATGCAGTGATTTTCACTAGAGAGTCATATCTGTTTTTAATACATTGCTGCCTGAGAGCCCGAAGATCATGGCCAGCAAATACTGGTTTTTGGCCTTGTCCATTGAGTACAGAGACTTCTCCAGATTCTCTATTATGTACCGTAGATGATAAAAAGCAAAAGTTCTTTGCTATTTTCTGTTCAGAAACATTATTCTTGAATTGTTGCACTATTTGCCTGTGCAGTCTTTCATAGAATGGTGAACCCCTTCTCATCTTTACTTCTTAAAGATTCAGCCTCTCTTCATACCCAATCATGTTACTGACCTGTTGCCAATTAACCACCAGTTTTTTTAGCATTCCACAACTTTACCAGCCTTTTGTTGCCCCCAACCCAACTTTTTTGGAACATGTTGTTGGCATCAAATTCAAAATGGGCATATATTTAAAAAAAATAATTTCTCAGTTTCAACATTTGATATGTTGTCTTTGCACTGTTTTCAGTTTCAAATAGGTTTTATATGATTTGCACATCATTGCATTTTGTTTTTATTTATACAGCGTCCCAACTTTTTTGGAAATGCGGTTGTAGAAAATTTGTAAAATCTGTGGAATTCTCCTTTAATGTCTGTTTAATACATGGACAACATGCATCAAATCATCACTTTTCACTATTTTACTACTCCCACTCTTAAAAACACTATGCTTAAGCATTTATTATACAAATAAACTCTTAATTTTGTGTTGAGTATATTGTCATTATAAAAGTGAAAAACTGAGAAATGACATTTGCAACTGCAGCTTTGTGCTCAGAATTTTTTTCAATATAGATAAAAATGTCAAAATTGGAATATAACACCACTGTGGAGAATAAAACGTTAATAAAAGAATATTCGGTGTTAAACAATTAGAGAGCATTTCATATTTCCATTTTTTTTTTCTTTTCTTATTTCTATGATTATCAGAAGAGATCACAGTTTTGTACCATCACCCACAGGCTTAGCTTTAGGTAGGAATAGTACAGACATGCCACAAGTAACTTTTAGGAAAGATAAAACACAACTTCATTTTAGGTTTGTATTATAGGCATATATATCTTATATAACACTTAAGTGACTCCATACGTCTCATGAAAACAGCAGCCTATGATCACTCGTTCTGCATGTCAGTTTATCAGCTCCTTCTGTTAAAAATTACAAAATGAAACTCACCCAACTCCCTGTGGGTAGTTAGAAGGCTGCTTTACAATGATTAATTAAGAACAAATGATTTATAAGCAAGGAGAAAGTATTTTTAGTATGTCTCTTCTTTGTTTGTACGAAAGATAGAAATATACGAGTCTGATTGATTTTCATCCAGAGACATTAGAAATTATCCTCAGATGTGTTGTTCACAAGTATATTCAAGAGTTTTTAAGCCATCATCCTCATTTAGATATGACCATTTCTCTTAACCCTTAAATAACCAATGTTATGTTTACCAGGAAGGCATTGCTTAAATACTGCTTTATCATTATGTTTTAAGAGGACGATTAAACTCTGAGATTTTGAACTAAATAAAATTGTTCAAAATGTTCATTAAAGGATAGGAATGTGCTTGATGAACAGCAACGACAGAGTCTCCAAAAATCTAATTATTGTGCATCTTTCATTCATCTGTACATGTATGTAACTCTTGTTGTTTAGCAGTGCTGTGTGCATGTGGTGACACTCTATGACAGTTAGTGTACATATTTGTAGAGCTTGATCTTATTTTAACTGAATCATTAAATTGGATATTAACACTGTAAAAACAACATCTCACATCATGCATCATGAGAGACACTCAGGAAACACCTGCTGACCAACACTCTGTAATTTTAGCTCTATGCAAATGTAGACCATTTTCTGCTTTTTCTCAGAGTGGTTCAAAAACAAACATTGTAAGTTAGTAAATTAAATGAGAGTTTTTCTTTTATATGAATAATAGCAATTCTAAAGAATCTGAAAACAAGTTTGAAAAAAGAAACTTAGATAAAGATTGTTTTGAGAGAAAATCCGGTTACACATTATTTGGATGGTCCCCTGTAGATGCTCTACAGCTACTTACATCATTAACAAACTTTCTGGTGATCCTCAGTCGATTATCAACAACATTATGGGTAGGATTAGGGTTAGGAGTAGATGTAGGTTTTGCCTTGAGGTTAAGGTTAGGGTTAGGTTTAGGGTTAGGTTTAATGGGTATTTAGTTGAATGTTATTGAAAGGCAGACTGAGCATTTACAAAGTATCTATAGTGAACCATCTAAGTTACATTCAACTTCAAGTTCAGTGGCATTTAATGACTAGACAGTTGAATGTTACTTAAATATATACTGAACATTTACAAAGAATCTACAGTGGACCATCCAAATAAAGTGTTACCAAAAATCCATTTGCTATGACTGAAAGGAAAAATGTTTACCTATATGAATTTGTAAACATTCTAATGTTCTTAAGTGTTTATGGATTTAGGGTGTAGCATATTTTTAATTACCATATTCTATAAGCACATGAGACTGTACTAATGACCCCATAAAGTGTGTGCTGTTGAGTGACTCCTCCCTCTGCCCCCTCCTGTCTCTCTTATAGCTCATCCCTGCACTCTCTCCTTTATCTGCTCCTCAAGCTGCTCATCTCTTCACTCAGCACAGAGAGTCATCACACACTGACAAGATGCTTCCAGCACTCTGCTCTCTCATCACTGCTCTCTCATGTAAGATCTCACAACACTGGAGCTCCTCAGCATTCGCCTACATCTAATGTGAGCATCAACAAATGTAACATGGATGCTGCTTTTATTGCAGGTGTCAGTGGTGTGACTGTGGTGACACAGAAGCCTCCTGTTCTCACGCCGACTAAAGGAGAGAAGATTACTATGCACTGTAATCTGGGGACTGTTACTGGTAGTGCTGCACATTGGTATAAACAGGTTCCAGGAGGAGTTCCACAGTATGTGTTAAGGAATTATCATAGCTGGAGCTCTCCTAGCTATGGATCTGACTTCTCCTCTCCTAAATTCACATCAACACACTCATCTCAATCAGATTACACTTTGATCATCAGTAATGTGGAGGTAGGAGACTCTGCAGTGTATTACTGTCAGACATGGGACAACTCTGCTAGTGAGTATGTATCACAGTGATTCACACCATGACAAAAACCTCCTCACTGCTCACATTCACTTTTAATGTCATTTATAGGTTTCACAATTTCATCCTCATAACTTTTGCAGTTACTAGAGCACTTAATCAAACAGTAGATCTTTATTTTTGTTGTTATAATTTCTTTTTTTTCTCATATATAATCATGATTATGGAAGATCAGTTTCAGGCTGCATGCATTATCATAGACCTGATGAGTTATTAACCTGAAAGATAAACAGAATGAGCTGTTCTCTAAACTCTGCCTTGACAATTTCAATAAAATTATTTGAGATCATGTAGATCAGTATCAATGTCACATTTTGGTGCTACAGAATTACAAATAGATTACAAACCATTATGAAGCCACCATCATATTTATCCTGGATTGTGTTAAACACAGTTTTCTATATTTGGTTATTGTGTCCTTTAATTAGGTGTCACATTATAATTCAAACAATTATAAAACTCAGATTATCACCTGATGCTGATTAAAGAAGTAATATAGTCTAGAACTTTCTTCACACTGACTCATCACCAGTTTTCTCTTCTCTTTTCTCTTGTATGTTTCTGTGTCTATATGAGTGAGTGTATGTTGACTTTCTTTATCTTCACCTTTATCTTGTAGTTTCACTGGTAGCACTTTACAGGTAATAAGTGGGTAATATTATAGTAACAAGTTGTCTTGTGTAACAATATCATAATTTCAGTGCAGTTATCCATCTTATTCTGAAGAATCAATGTTAGCACATGATACAGTAACTGAGAAACAAAATGGAAAGAATTAAGCTTGTATTTTACAGTTCTAATAGCATTTAGTTTCACAGTATTACATCCTGTAACTGTGTCTGTACATCACACTGCGCCAGACCATTTATAGACATAACAGGTAAGAAACAAAGTAGAAATGTGAATTAATATTTTTCAGCTCTAAAAACTCCAAATTTCTGCAGAATTGCATCACTGTTTTTTGGGGAAAAAACTCTAATATTGTTAAAACCATATAATGATTCAAAAGAATAGAAGTAATGTTGGTTAAGCAGATATAAAGCTGTAAGAGCTGGTCTCCGTATCACATTAAAATATTATAAACTGTAAAAATCCAAAATGGGAGCTAGAATAATTTTTTTTTAGTATTACTGACATTTTTTATCAACTAGAAAATGTAGTTCTTGTGTACAGGTAATTACAGTTTATTATCAGTATTTTTCTATTTTCCTACTGAACTTTACTCACAACAATTACTAACTTATTAATTAGTAGCAGCTAGAAAATTAGCGTGTCATTTTTCGGTTAGTACAACTTGTTACAATAATATTACCATATTATTACAGACCTTTTTACTGATCTGTATAAAGTGGTACTGACATGTAAACAAAGTCATTTGGAGAGATTTGCTGTGAGTTTTTTTGTCAAGAAATGTGTTGACCCAGATTTCGTCCAGATTACTTTACAGTTGTGCTGATAGGAAGGAGGGGCCTTGATGTCTACAATATAGCCTTCTTAATTACTATCTGAAATGATCAGTGCAGTTACATAACTCATCTGAGTTGTATATATAATGCTAGTGATGATTAAACAATGATAAATTGTTTTATTTGGGTACTATTTTTCCACACAATATAAAGATATTCAGTGAGAAAATCTTTCTAACCTTTAAAACAATGTTCTTTTCTTTTTCTGTGGTTAGCAGAAGAGATCACAGTAATGTACCATCACCCACAGACTCAGCTTTAGGTAGGAATGATGGAGACACACCTCAACCAACTTTTAGGAAAGTTAAAGCATGACTTTCAATTACACTTGTAATACAGGCAAAATGAGGACAGTTGTTCTGGTTCAGACCCAAAGACACTAACCTGAAAAAAGGTGAAGCTCAAAGACTGACTGACTGAAAAAAAGCTGTATATGAACATTTCCTGGTGGCAACCTACTTTTTTGTTTGCCATGGGTCTGTTTTTTTATGATAAAACAGTTCAAACACTCCCCTGCCTTCACACATCACACTAAAACAACAGCCTGTGATCACCCGTTCTGCAAGTCAGTGCATCAGCCCATTGTGTCAAATGTTATATGATGAACTTACCAGAATCTTTGGCAATAGTTAGAAATCTGCCTTATAAATATTAATGAAGAATTAAAGTACATATTTCTACAACTTGATAATATTTTAATTGAATCATTAAACTGGATATTGTCACTATTGAAACAAACCTTATATCTTTAAATTGGTGACTTTAAAGCAGAAGGGAAAAATTCCTAACTTTTAATGGAAGCTTAGGTAGTCAGATTTTATTCCAACTACTTGTCGTCCATTTCTATCGGTCTGTTCATCATGAAATATTAACACAAAATACAGGATAACTGGAGTTTTCAAATCAGCCAAAAAAGTTAATAAGTTAAAAATTAACCCCATTTGTTCACACCGCTACTGTATGTGTCCCTTTTAACTTTCAAGCCCATGCAAACCACAAAATGAGGAGCTCAGTAGAATGACAGAGCAGAGCTTTGGCTGAAACTCTGAACACCCTTCAAGATAAATGATGTTTTTGAAGTCACTTTTTAAAGACCGCATCCAGAATCAGTAGCACTGAGGTGGATATCCAGTGGATTCAAGGTTACCCCACACAATCCACATGATTAACTGAACTCAATGACACTGTAAACCTTCATAGTTCAGCACTGACACTGATACATCACACATTATGACAGACACACTCAGGAAACACCTGCTGACCAACACTGTAATTTTAGCTCTATGCAAATGAAGATCATTTACAATTACTTCTTTGAGTGAAACAAAAACCTTCACTGTAATTTATTGAAATTGATAACAGTTTGACTTTTTATTTGAAGTTGAAATCTATATAAATCCTGTGACTGAAAGGAAAAATATTCATCTGTATGAACATTAGATTTTCAGCAGTTTCCTCATTAACATATTCTGTGTCACTTGAGACTGTGTAGAGGTTTCCCTATGATGAGTGTTGTTGAGTGACCCCCCCCCTGCCCCCTCCTGTCTCTCTTATAGCTCATCCCTGCACTCTCTCCTTTATCTGCTCCTCAAGCTGCTCATCTCTTCACTCAGCACAGAGAGTCATCACACACTGACAAGATGCTGCCAGCACTCTGCTCTCTCTTCACTGCTCTCTCATGTAAGATCTCACAACACTGGAGCTCCTCAGCATTCGCCAACATCTAATGTGAGCATCAACAAATGTAACATGGATGCTGCTTTTATTGCAGGTGTCAGTGGTGTGACTGTGGTGACACAGAAGCCTCCTGTTCTCACAGCGACTAAAGGAGAGAAGACTACTATGCACTGTAATCTGGGGACTGTTACTGATTATCAAGCTGTTTGGTATAAACAGGTTCCGTGAGAAGCTCCACAGTATGTGTTAATGAATCACCATAGCTGGAGCTCCCCTAACTATGGATCTGGCTTCTCCTCTCCTAAATTCACATCAACACACTCATCTCAATCAGATTACACTCTGATTATCAATAACGTGGAGGTAGGAGACTCTGCAGTGTATTACTGTAAGACAAGGGACATCTCTGTTAGTGAGTGGGTATCACAGTGAATCACACCATGACAAAAACCTTCTCACTGCTCACAATCACTTCTGTTTCTGGCAGCAGTGGAAACATCAAAAAGTCAACAAAAAGAAATGCTATTGAATTTGAAACAAAGTTACATTGAACGTAATATATGTTTTAAAGTTTTGCTACATTATTCTGCCAGTAGAAAAAAATAGTCCTAACAGTTATGCTGAAATGAAAATAAATTAATGTACTGAATTTCCACTGTAAATCATGCTTTTATCATTTTTGTTCCATAGAAGTGAAACTGGCTCACTCATTTACAACTTGTCACTGACTCTGGAACTGACTCTTTACAGAACTCCAATTCCCAGAAATCCTTTGATGATCACGTGACTTGTGATAGATAGTATTTAAAGCCCTGGTTTTAGTTTAGTCTTTATGAAGAACTGCTTCATTCATTTGAGCTACTTAACGTTTCTCCCTGTGTTTATTTTGCCTTCCTGTGTATTGGTCTTTTTTTGGGATTTTTGACTTTGCCTTGTTGCCTTGTCCTTTTGTTTGCCTGTTTTTGTTATGTTTGTCCCTCTGTGTTTTTGGCTTGTTTTGTATTTGACCTGTGCCTGTTTTCTGACTATGAGTTTGGATCACGTTATAACTAGTAAAGCCTATTTTCCTCAATTTATCCGCAAACATCTGGCCAGTTCTGTCATGTTACACAACCAGATAATACACAGGGAGACAGGCTCCAGTGCTAAAACAAACCACCCAAAACCCACTTAGCCAGTTTAATACAGCACTTTTACAAGGCAGCCAGTACACTCACTTCATCATGATTCGGCTGAGACAATGCTGTGGAATTTCTTTGTATGCAGTAATAATGGTAGTCTGAGCAGGTGATGACAGCTCCACTCTCTGAACATCACATCCCTCTTTTATTAAAAGAGTTATGATGTCTGACCCACTGACGGAGAGACAAGGCCCAAAGAAACCTGTGCTGACTTAAAACAGCATCTTCAGCCACCTTCCAGCCAAGGCCTGAGCCTGTTTCAGAGCTGGAGACGCATTTGAGGACATTCAGGAGACCTTTGTGGCTGCAGAGGTAAATAAGAACAAAGCTTAAAAAACAGTTAAACGTTCCTGTTTATTAAAAATGGCATTAATCAGAAACAGGTTACATTTTCAGATTCAGTGATGCTTGTGTTTTTTCTCTTGCATGCTGATAAAGAGCAATGACCCAGTTCAATAATACAGAAAATCACACTAAAAACACACAGCTCTGACCTCCACAGGTAACACAGCATAGATCTTATTAAAGCTGTCACTGTGAAGCTATCAGAGATGCGGGATGAAGCAGTGCTGAGAGGCTTGCGGCACCCCCAGATTTCAGGATGCAAATGCAACTGCTTAAAATAATTTTTAAAAATATCTGAACTATAAAAAAATATACAGCGTAGTAAATACATATGTGTGTGCTTTTTGTAGATAGGACTTTGTATTTTTTGTGTTTTATTTATAAGCTTTCAAAATCTGCAGTAGCTGCACTGTTTAAGTCAGTGCTGTATGTTCATTACAGTGAGCTGAATCACTGTAGCTGCTATGTGTGTACAACAGGTCAACCAAATCAGCCAGTAAAATGCTGTGAGATAATTCTTTTGCTTCAATTACATTAATTCAGATATTTTAGTCAGTCCAGTTTTCTTCCACTTTAGAGTAATGAGCATCAACACATTCCATAAAAATAATGAAGAGAAAAGTGGGATATTTTACATTGAAATGCAACGCACTTAATGTAATAAAAGGGTTAAAGTAATGCAGCAGCAGCACACATTCCCTTTGGAAAAGAAGTATTGACATCAATATTGCTTATAGGAAACTGTAACGTATTTTGCTTTAAAAATGAAAATTAGAAATGTGCAACCATGTTTGTAGACCAAACACAGTCAAAATGATTACAGACTTCATTTCAGTAAATAGATCAGTGTCAAGTTCTTTTTATTTTTCATGTGAGCAATAATAACTTAGTCAAAAGGTTGAGATATAAAAAATGTAAGATATGTAACACAGTTGGTTTTAGACTTGAATTAAAACCAACTTCATACATTTCATATCAAGCACTATAATTTAGTTCATAAATATCTGCATACACTGCACTTAAAAACAGTTTCCACAGGTTAGCACACATATATGTTTGTTTTTGAACAAATAATGTTCTTTCCAGTAAAACAAAGTCTCAGCTGATTGGCTGGTTAGAGATCCAGACTCCTCCCTAAGCTCCTTATAAAAGCTTCCTCCACTCTCTCCTCTCTTCATCCTCCACTCTGTTCATCACTCTGCTGATCACACAGACAACATGCTGCCAACCCTCTGTGCTCTCCTCCCTGCTCTGACATGTAAGATCTCTCTTCCTGCTTTTCTCTGTACATTGATGAGATCTGTTTGATTAGGATTGTGTTTAAAATGATATTGATGCTCATGAACTCCAATGTTGCTTTATGTTTTAGGGGTCAGTTCACAGAAAGTTCTGACACAAACCCCTTCAGTACCAACTGACCAGGGCAGAACTATCAGCCTGGACTGTAACATCGCAAAGGATGAAAGCAACTATGTCTCCTGGTATAAACAGATTCCACAAGCAGCTCCTCAGTTTGTGTTGAGATTTTATCATTCTCACAGCTCTCCTAATCAATATGGAGATAATTTTCCATCTTCACGCTTCACATCTAAAGCTTCTTCGAGCATCGATTACCAGTTAATAATCAATAATGTGGAGGTAGGAGACTGTGCAGTGTATTACTGTGGAACGTGGGACGACTCCTTTAGAGGCGCAGTAACACAGTGATTGAGATGATGACAAAAACCTCCTTCACACATTCACTTCTCCATTACATTCAGCTCATTTTTCACCTGGAGCAGAAAAGTGGAGCTAATAGCTGCAGTTCTCTTGAGCAGGACGTGTGAAGAAATCACAGGATAACAGAGATGTGGAATTCACAGAGACTGGAATGGGATGTGTAAGGACTCAGTGCTGATCATAGACAGTAGAAGAGAGAGCTGAAATCTAGACGACGTTTCAGTTCCGCTACTTTCACTTCTGAAACTGAGGATGATTTTGTACGGGTGAGGATATGAAATGAAGCACTGTGGTATTCGGCCAAGGAACAAAGCTGATCGTCACTGGTAAGAAACCTTTCTCTTCATCTACATTAGACTTTAATGTTTCAACTCATCTTTTAGAGAAAAATGATGACATTTTAACAGTGAATACGGATTTTGTTGTGTTTTTTATTGTTCATCCACAAAATTCAGTATTGACAGTATTAATGTTACTAACAGTCATATAAAAATTCTGTTCAATTATCAGTTAATGTACTTCTATTAAATCATGTTTATGTTTTTCTCTATTCTGTTTTTTTAATGCTTGAGCAAAATGAAACTGTGAAAAATGACATAATACTTGATATTTGAAAAGTCAGACTTACGCCAGCCATGACTTCAGTCACATTTTACTCTATATGTACATAATTAAGTAAACTAAATGTTAAAACTAATTTTAATATTAAATATTTACTTGATTTAATGACTTGATTAATGATACAATGTTGTGCTGAAAGACCATGTTTTTATCTTCATGTTTCTCACTGTAACTGTGAGTCATTTGGAAAATTCAATATACAGTCGCTGAGAGAAAGTTGTGTTTATTTGAAATCAATAAAGTTTAATTTGCTCCATGTTTCTTTATAAAATCAATATAAAGGCTTTAAGAAGCTGTTTTTTTGTTCCGATATCACAGAAATATACTTTAATTAACAACAAACAGAACATATATTTAAACTTTCTCATGGTGTCATTATTTGTATTTTATAAAGTGAATGATTTTTCTGTTTCTCTAATCAGACTCTGCTCTCCCGGCTCCTGTTCTGACCATCTTCCCTCCATCCAGTGAAGAGCTGAAATCTAACAAAGCCACTCTAGTGTGTTTGGCCAATGACATGTCAAGTGGTTTTGCTGATGTGCGTTGGCTGGTGGACAGAAACCCGATCAGCAGTGGAGTGACCACTGGCTCTGCAGAGCAGCAACCCAATAAGAAATTCAGACTGAGCAGCTATTTGACCATTGAGAGATCAGAGTGGGATAAAGATAAAGCCATAACATGTGAAGTGTCTGCTGCCTCAAAAGCCACAACTAAAGAGATTAAGAAGTCTGAATGCAGCGACTGAACCTGATCACATCTGATACATTTTCATTCTTTTCACGCAAACTAACAGTTACTACTTGGCAGAGCTTCATAGAAACAGTAGTTTAATGTGTAGTGAAAGATGCTGATTTCATTAACTACAACTGGATCATCTCCTGCTTATGGAGTCATTTGACTTTTATGTTTATGAACAAAGCTGTTTGATGAACTTTAATAAAATGCATAACTAAAAAACTTTGTTGTCCATTTTTCATGGTGATGGAGAAACAGTATGATGTTCTAGACATTAAATCAGAGAGACTTCAGCACAGAACCAGCATAATGAAACAAATGTAGCTGTAAAGAATAACAGTGAGAACGACTAAAAGAGTGAAACAGGTTTATACAGCATTATAAAATGATCAGATTTTATTCTGGCTGTATAGTGAACAGAGCTTTGGAGACTCAGTTACAAGGAGATGGTGTGATATCTATGGTTACTGATGATGTAAAAGGATGATCTAAAGCAGATCAGAGTCAGTGATCACTGTCTAGACAAGTGTAGTAAAGAGAGTGAATTCTAATGGAATTCTCCTATGAGAGATTCAGATCTTGAGGCTTAAACTAAACTGAACAAGAGCTAAAAGACTGAAGTTCAGATCACAACACTGTGGAGCTTTTACTGAAGTTTTACTGGCACTGACACAACAGATACACACACTAAAATATGAGAGAAAGTGAAGGAGCTCATAGAGATGTGTGTGAGTGAGGAGATTTCTCAAAGGAAGCGGTTCAAATGGAAATCTGCAGACAGCAAGAAGAGATAAAGGTGGAAAATGACTCCTACAGAATGATGAACAGATGATGAGGCTGATTAGTGGAAGAGGTTTCAGACTAAATTACAGTGAGATATTGTGTGTTTATCATCAGTGTTGATGCCACTGAAAATGTATGTGGTTGATTTAAAATATATCAGAGTTTCTGATCGATGTGCAGTCAGTTGTAACTAAAGGAGTGAATAAATAAGGCCTCGTATGGAGGGTGGAGTAAAGTGGATGTGGAGCAGGATTTGGGAATGTTGTGTAGAGCGCCATCTGTCAGCAGAAGCGTAAACTGCAGTCTACTGTTCAGCAGGAGAGAGGATCACTCAGTAGGGCAAGAAGACCAGAGTTTGATGAGTTTCAGTGACATTTTGGTGGATTTGTACTTTTCTAAGTATTTTCAAGTGATAACACTCTTAATTGCACTGACATATTAGTCAATAATGGAGTTCAATTGTTTCTAAGTTCCATTTTAGCCCTTCACACATAGTTCCTCATTTCTTTTTGAGTTTAATTTCATTCTGTTCTGTTGGTGAGAGTTTCTGTTGTGCTGTTACTCACATTTTTTTTTCTTATTGAATTAAATCATAATATTTCTACAGCACTTTGAATTTCTTAATACTGTTGAACACAATGCTTGAATGATGATGCTGTTTTAATGAATCAGATTTTTGTTTCTAATTTTTCTTCTCCTGTTTTCTCTGTGTTAAAGTGAGTGTGAGAGGAGAGACTGTAGGTGGCAGTGAAAGATCAGAGAGAGCTGAACTGACGTGGAGATTTCCCCAAGACGATTCAGTCCACTAATCAGTGTGAACCTCCTCTCTCACTCAGGATACACCTGCTGCACCACTCTGTCATTTTAGTTCTGTGTAAATGAGGACGTTTCTCTGCATCACATCAGAATTAGACACAAACAAATGTAGTCATTTCAGAATAACAGAGAAACAAATGCAGTATGTATAAAAAATGCATTTCCATACAAAATAATGAATAATACTAATACATTTTAAACAATGCCATGTGAAGAAAATTAGTTATAATTGTTTTACTGTGAATTAAACAAAAAATGTAAATATTAAATACAAGTATTCCATAAAGGTGTCAAGATTATCAGTGTGCTGATGGTGTGTTAGTAGACTTGCAAATGTTTAACAGATATTTGTAGATGATTTATCGATGTATTTTCTAGGATATCAATTTGATATTGTGATATAACACTGATAAATGTGTTTTTACTACATTTGTTGTAAATGATGGTGCTTTATTTTACATCCTCTGAGGGAAAGAACTGGCATCTTCTCCTTTTGTCTGTTCTTTTATCTGATCTTTTATGGTGAGCAGATGTGGAGGTGTGCTGGGAGAGGATGGTATGTGAAGGAAGATGCTGGAGTTTCCACACTCAGTTCATTTCTGATCACACCAGACAGAGACACTATACAGACAAAAGTATTGGTACACACCTTGTAATCATTGAGTTCAAGGGTCACAGCCACACCCACTGCTAAGAGGCAGAAAAAAAGAAGCACACAGCCATAAAGTCTCAATAGACAAACACTGACAATAGAATGGGTTGTACTGATGAACTTAGTGACTTTAAAATAGGGTAACTCTGAGAGGAGAGCTCTGAGAGGAGAGCTTTGAGCAGAACTGTTGACATCAGGCTGAATGGGTCAAACTCAAAGTGAAGACTCCCTTTCCCACTTTAAACGACTAGCATCCATCACTCCTTTTAGAGTTACAGGACCCTATTTGGGCAGGGACCGATGTAGCCTTTTACAGTGTATGACGAAAATGTTCAGTAAGATTATTTAATTCATCTGTATGATCGCCTGCCCTGCGATAGACTCACGACCTGTCCAGGGTGTATCCTGCCTTCCACCCAATGATTGCTGGGTTAGGCCCCAGCACCTCCGCCCCTGCGACCCAGAAGCATAAGTGGTTTAGATTGTGTGCGTGTGTGTGTGTGTGTGTGTGTGTGTCTACTGATGCTGTTGCTGTTTGTTTGTGTGCTTCCAGGAAACCCAAAGCAGTGTGTGAGGAACTCATGTTGTTGAAATGGATGGTACAAGGGATGCTGCACCTCCTGATTTTGCCTAGTCACGGCTGTCCTGAGGGCAACAACCACAGTACTGGTCATTTTGACTGAAAGACAGAATGTAATCTAGTGTCCATATGCCTGTTTGATGCACGCGCACGCATAGGGGAGTTCGGCACAACACCGACAGAAAACTTCTTGAACTTGAGCGCATCAGCAGCTAATCTGGGGAGCACAAAGCCCCCATCAAATGGTGGGAGTTCAGTTTCTTCCCTATGTCGTTTCTTTCTCATGTAGTTTGTACACGTCAAATATAGAAACGCTTATACAAAAAGTAATATAGCCAACCAGTACACCAGATCCACAGGCCTGATTTCTGAGCTTCCATACCTTTTATTTCCGCTTATGATGGGAAATTTTACGTTTGGATCACTAAAATACAACCTTTTATTCCATTGCTGTTTGTTTGTTGTTTGATTTTATGATTAGTCTGTGAAATTGTAAAACAAAGTTATTCCTTAATTTTTCCACTGACAATAACAGAACCAAAAACGAGAATCAACCCATTTGCCGTTTTTCAATATTGGCTTTTAAAATGAAAATCAAATGAACAGAAGGTACACGGACCCTCTTTTTACTGTTTAATATCAATACTGTTGAACATGGAGCCTGAATGATGATGCTGTTTTAATTAAGCAGATTTTTGTATTTAATTTTTCTTCTCCTGCTTTATTTCACAGACAGACTCTGTAAAGTGTGTGTGTTAAAGTGAGTGTGAGAGCAGAGTCTGTAGGTGGCAGTGAAGGATCAGAGAGAGCTGAACTGACGTGGAGATTTCCCCAAGAGACGATTCAGTCCACTAATCAGTGTGAACCTCCTCTCTCACTCAGGATACACCTGCTGCACCACTCTGTCATTTTAGCTCTGTGTAAAATTTTTCTCTGAGTCATTTCAGAATAACAGAGAAACAAAAGCAGTATGTTAACGTATAAAAAAAAATTCCAAATAAATTGAACTATTTTGATTGAATTCCATCTTAAGAACCAGAATTCAAAACATGGCCATTGTGCTGTAACTTAGAATATTAATGTAAATTGAAAACAATTATCATTTTAAATTTGTCAGTAATATAATCTTGTGCATCAGTTAGTAGACTCGAATGTGTTTAGGAGAGATATGTAAATTAATCATCAATATATTTGATACCACATGAGACTGTGTAGATGGTCCCATATGGTGAGTGTAGTTGAGTGACCCCTCCCTCTGCCCCCTCCTGTCTCTCTTATAGCTCATCTCTTCACTCAGCACAGAGAGTCATCACACACCGACAAGATGCTGCCAGCACTCTGCTCTCTCTTCACTGCTCTCTCATGTAAGATCTCACAACACTGGAGCTCCTCAGCATTCGCCAACATCTAATGTGAGCCTCAACAAATGTAACATGGATGCTGCTTTTATTGCAGGTGTCAGTGGTGTGACTGTGGTGACACAGAAGCCTCCTGTTCTCACAGTGACTAAAGGAGAGAAGACCACTATGCACTGTAATGTGGGAACTTTTTCTGATAAAGCTGTTTGGTATAAACAGGTTCCAGGAGGAGTTCCACAGTATGTGTTAAGAAATTATCATACCTACAGCTCTCCTAACTATGGATCTGGCTTCTCCTCTCCTAAATTCACATCAACATGTTCATCCAATTCAGACTGTAGTTTGATTATCAGTAATGTGGAGGTTGGAGACTCTGCAGTGTATTACTGTCATGCATGGGACAGCTCTGCTAGAGAAGAAGTATCACAGTGATTCACACCATGACAAATACCTTTTGCTGCTCACATTCACTTATTCTTTCAGACAGCAGCAGCTGTACTAAAGTGGAAACTAAGTATTTTGATTTTTTGAGCATTTATTAGAAATCAGCTTCTGGCTACATGTAGTAGAATTTTTCTGCAGTTTTAATATGAAAAAAATAATTTTCTCTGAACCCTATCATTGCAATTTCACATTATTTTTTGCTATCATGTAGATCAATGTTGGGATCATGTTGTGCTGTTAAAGAGAAAAATGCTCGTTGCGTTATGGAACCACCAACATATTCAAGTAATTCGTTCTGTTACACACATTATTTTATTTTTAGTGTTCACATTAAAATGGGGGCACCGTTATGATGGTTATGAAATAATTATAAAACATTTATCATCACCTGAAGTTGTTTTATTCCTTTTTAAACCAATTAACTACTAGAATTTATCATAAATTCTAAACTTAATGTATGTTTGGTTTACATTTCATTTAACTAATATTATGTCTTATAACTGTGTATAATGAGCTCAGTTTATCTGTTATTTAGATTACAGTAAAGATCAGAGATGAACATTACAAATGATTATCAAATACTGGTATTAAAATTCACCCAAGATACTTGTTTTGAAACCATTTAAATTATTGTAGAATTCAATTTTATCCTAATAAAAAAAAAGTCATGCAATAAAAATGAAATTTCACACAACAATGTAAAATTATTTTTAGATGATTTACATTTTGTAAACATCAGATATTCAGTCAGGCTTTAAGACAAAATGAGTCCCATTCAGGTGTGAGTGAACGTGTGTGTGTTCATGCTCGAGTGACACCAACAGTGATGTGTGAGTGTAAACATGTTTACTACATTTACGGAACATAATTGTGCTGGTTTTACATCACTTCAGGCACAAAGACGACGCCTCTTCATTTTGTCGGTTCTTTTGTAGAAGCTGAGTTTGTGTCACCAAACTGACAAAGGCTGGAATGAGAGGAAGATGCTGGAGTTTCTGAACGAGAGCCGTCATCAAATGTCTGCTACAATATGAACATGTTCAGGTCAGTCTGGATGCAGAGGAGGTTTCAAAGGAGGACAATTTCCCAGGAAGAGTTTGCCTCTGTGAGATCTCCTCTGATTCCAGACTGGGTTCATTTCTATTCATATCACAAAATCAGAAAAAGAGAGAGATGTCCAGAGGCGCCACCAGGGATTTTGTGCCTCATGAGAAGATACATTAGGCCCTACCACCACAGGCTGTTCATTGTTCATTGGTAGGGGTATGGGGATTGAAGAGAGGGATAGGGCTGGTTCATTGGTAGGGGTATGGGGATTGAAGGGGAGACAGGGCTGGTTCATTGATAGGGGTATGGGGATTGAAGAGGAGACAGGGCTGGTTCATTGGTAGGGGTATGGGGATTGAAGAGGAGACAGGGCTGGTTCATTGGTAGGGGTATGGGGATTGAAGAGGAGACAGGGCTGGTTCATTGGTAGGGGTATGAGGATTGAAGAGGAGACAGGGCTGGTTCATTAGTAGGGGTATAGGGATTGAAGAGGAGACAGGGCTGGTTCATTGGTAGGGATATGGGGATTGAACACTCACAGACTACACCCACCTCTGTTTGTGAAAAAATGGGCGACATACCCTCACCCTTCTCTCTTGTCTTCCTTTTTTCTTTTTGTTTTTAGAAGGCAGATTTTTCTTTAGCAAGTTTCTTTAGCAACATGATGCTCCACTCCTCACTCGCAAGTCACTGCTATCCAGTACCATTAAAGCCTGATTACCAAAACATTTTGGGTAAATAAAGGGGAACTTGGGCAATACAGAAAAAGAAACTGTTATTTTTATGGCTACATTTTACTTTTAATATTCCATTAGTGATGATATTTAATACTGTTATCCTGAAAAAATGACCTAATGTTCTAATAATTTTTAGGGTCTCTGTCAATCACAGGTCCTGACGTGTCCTAATGCTCAGTTCAGAAGTAATGTTCAAGTGTATTGAAACATAGGATGTCAATTATTTAGCATAGTCTTCATTAACACACTCTATAACACACAGGAGATGGCCACTCTATAGATGATGTGTATAGTTGAGTTGCCCCTCCCTCTGCCCCCTCCGGTCTCTCTTATAGCTCATCCCTGCACTCTCTCCTTTATCTGCTCCTCAAGCTGCTCATCTCTTCACTCAGCACAGAGAGTCATCACACACTGACAAGATGCTGCCAGCACTCTGCTCTCTCTTCACTGCTCTCTCATGTAAGATCTCACCACACTGGAGCTCCTCAGCATTCGCCTACATCTAATGTGCGCCTCAACAAATGTAACATGGATGCTGCTTTTATTGCAGGTGTCAGTGGTGTGACTGTGGTGACACAGAAGCCTCCTGTTCTCACGCCGACTAAAGGAGAGAAGACCACTATGCACTGTAATCTGGGGACTGTTACTACTTATCAAGCTGTTTGGTATAAACAGGTTCCAGGAGGAACTACACAGTATGTGTTAAGCAGTCATCTGACTTGGAGCTCTCCTAGATATGGATCTGGCTTCTCCTCTCCTAAATTCACATCAACATGTTCGTCTAAATCAGACTGTAATTTGATCATCAGTAATGTGGAGGTAGGAGACTCTGCAGTGTATTACTGTAAGACAAAGGACAGCTCTGTTAATGAGTTTGTATCACAGTGATTCACACCATGACAAAAACCTCCTCACTGATCACATTCACTTCTGCTTTCAGACAGCTGTAGAAACTGTAACATGTCAGAATTCACTGAATCTTTTAATATTGTTATGGACTGTAGACAATGAAATTGCTAAATTCCGTGCAAGTGTGCACTGAGAAACATTACCCTTATGCTGTTGGACTATTTGCTCACACAGTGTTTTCGGAAAGTGGTGAGCATTTCGTGAATGTTTCTTTTATACCCAATTATGATACCATCACCTCTTATCTATTTACCTTTTTACCTATGGAAAGGTCCAAAACAGATGTTTTTGTTCATTCTCCAAACCTCCGATTTCCCCTGTCCCAACATTTTTGGAATGTGTAGAAGACATCAGATTTGGAAATACTGTATATCAATAAAAATCATAATGTAAAATATTAAGTAAGCTTTTCTGAGTTGGATTTGTACTTTGTACTTTGTAATTACTTAGAAGAAAAACTATTGTGATTAATATTAAAAAAAAATTGAACATTTGAGTATTTTTTCATATTGTATGTTGTTCCCATTTTAGAAAAGTGTGCCACTTGAGGCCATGTGTTTTTAGCTGTGCATCATGCTAAACAACTAGAGGCATCACTAGAGGTTCATGGATCAGGGGCTTAAGCCTGTACTAGGGGTCTCTGGGGGCATGGTCCCCAAAGAGCATTTTTTTTAATGGCCCCAAAATGTTTACAATGCATTTAGTAGTAGCAACAGCCAAAAATGTCCTGTACATTAGTCGTGTTAAGTATATCAAAAAATGGTTATTTGGTCAAATTTGGCACACAGTAGAGTCTCTTTGTAGTTTGTATTAAACCCAGAGCTAATATAACAAACACTGTATCCATCCACTTACAACAGGCACAGATCAGTCAAAGGTACTGAAGTCAAGCAATGCTATCTTTTCTCTATTCGATAAGCTGTAAGATCCTAAATATATTATTCAAACACACAGATTATAGATCAGTTCAGTCAGTTGGTGCAATCAGTAAGAGAGTGATTTTGCACTGTAGGCATGTTTAATAAGCTAGGTGACACAATTTTATGGTCACAGTGACAAACATTCTATTTTCTCATTTAAGTTCAATTAAATGTAAAATTAATTTTAACAGAAAGCTTATATATAACTCTCCCTCGCTTTCTTCTCAATCACTAACCTCCATCAGATCTGCTCCTTCAGGCCTGTCAGTCTCCTTCAGCTTCTTTCTCGTTCTCTTCCTGTGTTTAGTAAGACATTCATTTTATTAAACTCAGCTTTACAGCAATGCAAGGAAATGATCATCAATTCATTTTTTAACTGGTAAAAATCTCTCATCTGACTGGCCTTCGATGGAGCTGCTGCCTCTTTATTTCCATCTATAGGTTGAGGAATTGAGGGATAAAAAACTGTGTTATAATGACCTTTTTACAGAAAGCTGAAGTCAGCTTCTTGTTTGAATTGTACATTCCACCTCAAATGCTGAAGCAGTTACACTCTGGCACCTCACAACAGGAAAACAATAAGAATCTGAAAAAGAATTCAAACAAGACTGTGGAGAATAGGAAGCCAACTTCAGCCTCATCCTTTTCACTGATGTTAACTTACTGAACAACAATCTAAGGCAAATACTGGTGTTATTGCTTCCAAATGCTGAAGAGAAATCTAAAGACAAAGAATAAAAAGAGCTTTCAATAGCTATGAAGTGAAGTTAAACCATTTGGCTTGTCAGCTAGCTAATGTAAGTGTTAGCTTAACCTCTTTTCGTTTTCTCACTCAAACCCAAAGTTAACTAAAGTTAGCTAGCTAAACTTAAGCAACCATTAAAAAAAAAAACAGATATCCAGCTATACTGACCATAACTATACTGGCAAATACACAAATCCATATTATAGGTGGATACATTCACTCTGTTTAACACTGTTTCACTCTGTATGTTACAGATTTTGAATAAGATCTAATGTTTATTTTAGCGAGCTTTTAGCCAAAATCCTGTCTTTAGCTCAGTTACCGATTACTTTGCAGTGCATGAACAGAGACCCTCCCCCAGGTCTGATATGATTGATTTACAACATATGAGGTCTTATATGATTGGCTAAACATTACATTAGTCAATCTTATACAGCAAAAGCAGAGCTGCATTAGCTCTTTCAGATTGTGCCCTACTATTACAGTATATTATGAATAAGAATGAACTATAGATCATTTAGACTAGAAATGTACCTTTATTTTTTATTATTTATTTTTTCAATTTTGTCGTAGCCAATTCCACCCGCTAGTTAGGGCTCCCCCAATCACACACGACGCTATAAACGGTAGGAGGGCGAGGCTAACACAGGCTTCCTCCGAGACCTGTGAAACCAGCCACCGCATCTTTTCAAACTGCATTGTCTTTGGACAGCTGAACCCGCTCGGAGGAAAGCGCCAACCGCCAGATCTGTTACGTCAGCTAACAGACGCCTGCGCTGACTAGCATCGCGCTTAGTGAGTATGGGGGGAGAAAGGCAGCCATCCCACCCACCCAGAGAGAGCGAGGCCAGTTGTGCTCTCTCGGACTCCCGGCCACGGATGGCTGTAGCATCACCAGGGATCGAACTCGCGATCTCCTGATGATAGGGCCAACGCTTAGACGGTTGCGCCACTCGGGAGCCCGAAATGTACCTTTATTTAGGAAGAGGGGGCTCCGTAACATTTAGGGCCGGTTTATTTCTTTGCATGCTAGCCTGAAACAAGACTGAGGTTAGATGACTTTTGGCACCCGAAAAACTACAAAACGTCCTGAGACAGAGATGACACAGATAAGATTATAGCCTTCATTGCAATATTTCATAAATAACATTGGCAGGGATGTAACTTACACTCTGCTGAAGGACTTTCTGTTTTCCCATTAGTCTTAGCTCTCGCTAATGAGTAAAAGCAGGTTCAAGATTTACACTTGCTTGGTCAATCTCTCTTTTTTGTTTCCTTGCTTCCTCCAAGAATGTCTTCTTCAGCTTCTTCACAGCCTCTACCATGATGCCCATGCTGGGACTACCAAGCTAGCTGCTTCTTATAGCTAGCTGAAGAGCAATAGTTGTGGGTGTGAGACGTGGTGTTGTCTCTCAATGATGCTGAAGTTATGCACTTTGCCATTTAAATGAGTAAAAGAAATTCTAATGAACTTGTAAATTAAAAATCAATGAGTGTTTACTTTGAATTCATTTATATAATGTGACTAAAAAGAAACCTGTTTGTCTATATCAATATATAGATCTTATGCTTTTGTACTAATGTTGAGGAACATGAGAAGTCAGTTCTTTACCATATTCTTCATCAACATATTTTATAACACATGAGACTGTGTAGATGGTCCCATATGGCATGTGTTGTTGAGTGACCCCTCCCTCTGCCCCCTGTTACTAATGATGCAGCTCGTTGGTATAAACAGGTTCCAGGAGGAACTACACAGTATGTGTTAGGGAATTATCATAGCTGGAGCTCTCCTGACTATGGATCTGGCTTCTCCTCTCCTAAATTCACATCAACACACTCATCTCTATCAGATTACGCTTTGATCATCAGTAATGTGGAGGTAGGAGACTCTGCATGGTATTACTGTAAGACATATGACAGCTCTACTAGTGAGTGGGTATCGCAGTGATTGACACCATGACAAAAACCTCCTCACTGCTTACGTTCACTTCTGCTTTCAGTCAACAGTAGAAACACAAAAACCTCAGCAAAATCTTACAGTAGTATACTGACACAATTGAGTTACATTTAATGTTATTTATTTTTCAAAGTTTCACCTCATAAGTTTTTATGTACTGAGCAAATAAACAGAGCAGTTCCTGAAAGAACTGATTTCTTTTCTAAATAACTTTGTTTTCTAAAGTGATTTGTCTTTTTTGTACAATGTATATTCCATTTTCTCTTGAGAAATACAGCTGATTTCTTGTATGTACTATTATGTCTTATGTGTTATGATGCTCATGAGAGATCAGTGTCAGGATGTATGCAATGTAAATTATCTGTGTATAAATCTGAAAAGTGAATGTACTGAAATATTCTCTCAACACCATCATGACAATTTCACATGAAATTTTGTGATTATGTAGATCAATATCAGCATCATGTTGTGCTGCTAGATTACAGAATGTGAAATTTTTGTGTGTGTTATTATTGATACAATATCATATTTAACACTTGGCTTGTTTTACACACAGTTTTCTATTTTTAGTGTTCACATTATATAAATAACTATTCTTTAACTGTTTATAATGTAATTATAAAGCGTGTACTTTCACCTTGATGTGTGAATTATTTTTTAAATAATGTCACTATTGGATATTAGCAGTTCTACACTTTTTATGGAACTAACACAGATTTCATTTAACCAAATTATAAGAATATTTATGTGTACAATGAGCTCTGTTTATGTGTTATTTGGACTACAGTTAAGAGCAGAGGCTAACATGATGAATGATTATCAAAGACTGGTATGTGTTTAATATCAGCTAAGGTTCTACGGCTTGTTTTAAAACCATTTTAAATTATCATTTGATACAATTTTATTTATCTGAAAATAAAAAAAGAAAAAAGATTTTATGACATTAAAGTTAAATCTGTTCATCCTCCACTCTGTTCATCACTCTGCTGATCACACAGACAACATGCTGCCAACCCTCTGTGCTCTCCTCCCTGTTCTGACATGTAAGATCTCTCTTCCTGCTTTTCTCTGTACATTGATGAGATCTGTTTGATTAGGATTGTGTTTAAAATGATATTGATGCTCATGAACTCCAATGTTGCTTTATGTTTTAGGGGTCAGTTCACAGAGAGTTCTGAAACAAACCCCTTCAGTACTAACTGACCAGAGCAGAACTGTCAGTCTGGACTGTAACATCGCAAAGGATGAAGGCCAATACGTCTCCTGGTATAAACAGATTCCACAAGCAGCTCCTCAGTTTGTGTTGAGATTTTATCATTCTGACAGCTCTTCTGATCAATATGGAGATAATTTTCCATCTTCACGCTTCACATCTAAAGCCTCTTCAAGCATCGACTATCAGTTAATAATCAATAATGTGGAGGTAGGAGACGCTGCAGTGTATTACTGTCAGTCACATGATGGTTCTACTAGTGAGTGGGTGTCACAGTGATGTAGATCATGAAAAAAACCTGCTCACTGCTCACGTTCACTTCTCCATTTCATTCAGCTCATTTCTCACCTGGAGCAGAAAAGCTGAGTTAATAGCTGTAGTTCTCTTGAGCAGGATGTGTGAAGAAATCACAGGATAACAGAGATGTGGAATTCACAGAGACTGGAATGGGATGTGTAAGGACTCAGTGCTGATCACAGACAGTAGAAGAGAGAGCTGAAGTCTAGACGACGTTTCAGTTCCGCTACTTTCACTTCTGAAACTGAGGAGGTTTTTGTACGGGTGAGGATATGAAATGAAGCACTGTGGTATTCGGCCAAGGAACAAAGCTGATCGTCACTGGTAAGAAACCTCTCTCTTCATCTACATTAGACTTCTTTAATGTTTGAAACTCATCTTTAAGAGAAAAACAATTACATTATAACTTTGAATAAGGAATTTTATTTATTATTATTATTTGTTTGTTTTTTTTTTATTCATCCAAAAAAATCAGACAGAATGAATGTTATTAGCAGTCATATAAAAATTCTGTTAGATTATCTATGAATGTAGCTCTTTTAAATCATGTTTATGTTTTTCTCTATTATGTTATTATTATTGTTTTAATGCTTGAGCAAATTGCAATTGTGAAAGATGTCAAAATACTTGCTGTTTGAAAAGTCAGACTTATGCCAGCCATGACTTTAGTCACATATCACTCTGGATGTACATAATTAAGTAAACTAAATCTTGAAACAAATTTTAATATATTTAATATTTACTTGATTTAATTACTTGATTGAGGATACAATGTTGTGTTGAAAGACTACGTTGGTTGTATTTCTTTTTGTTTCTCACTGTAACTGTGAGTCATTTGGGAAATTAAATATTCAGTCACTGAGAGAAAGTTGTGTTTATTTTAATTAAAAAAAGTTCAATTTGCTCCATGATTGTTTTATAAAATGAATATAAAAACGTTAAAAAGCTGTTCTTTGTTCCGATATCACAGAAATATACTTTCATTAACAACAAACTGAACGTGTCTAAACATTTCTTTAAACTTTCTCATGTTGTCATTATTTGTATTAAATTAAGTGAATAATTTATCTGTCTCTCTAATCAGACTCTGCTCTCCCGGCTCCTGTTCTTACCATCTTCCCTCCATCCAGTGAAGAGCTGAAGTCTAACAAAGCCACTCTTGTGTGTGTGGCCAATGACATGTCAAGTGGTTTTGCTGATGTGCGTTGGCTGGTGGATAGAAACCCGATCAGCAGTGGAGTGACCACTGGCTCTGCAGAGCAGCAGCCCAATAAGAAATTCAGACTGAGCAGCTATTTGACCATTGAGAGATCAGAGTGGGATAAAGATAAAGCCATAACATGTGAAGTGTCTGCTGCCTCAAAAGCCACAACTAAAGAGATTAAGAAGTCTGAATGCAGCGACTGAACCTGATCACATCTGATACATTTTCATTCTTTTCATGCAAACTAACAGTTACTACTTGGCAGAGCTTCATAGAAACAGTAGTTTAATGTGTAGTGAAAGATGCTGATCTCATTAACAACAACTGGATCATCTCCTGCTTATGGAGTCATTTGACTTTTATGTTTATGAACAAAACTGTTTGATGAAATTTAATAAAATGCATAACTAAAAAAAGTTTGTTGTCCATTTTTCATGGTGATGGAGAAACAGTATAATGTTTTAGACATTAAATCAGAGAGACTTCAGCACAGAACCAGCATAATGAAACAAATGTAGCTGTAAAGAATAACAGTGAGAACGACTAAAAGAGTGAAACAGGTTTATACAGCATTATAAAATGATCAGATTTTATTCTGGCTGTATAGTGAACAGAGCTTTGGAGACTCAGTTATAAGGAGATGGTGTGATATCTATGGTTACTGATGATGCCACTGAAAATGTAAAAGGATCCTCTAAAGCAGATCAGAGTCAGTGATCACTGTCTAGACAAGTGCAGTAAAGAGAGTGAATTCTAATGGAATTCTCCTGTGAGAGATTCAGATCTTGATGCTTAAACTAAACTGAACAAGAGCTAAAAGACTGAGGTTCAGATCAAACCACTGTGGAGCTTTTACTGAAGTTTTACTGGCACTGACACAACAGATACACACACTAAAATATGAGAGAAAGTGAAGGAGCTAATAGAGATGTGTGTGAACGTGGAGATTTCTCAAAGGAAGCGGTTCAAATGGAAATCTGCAGACAGCAGTAAGAGATAAAGGTGGAAAATGACTCCTACAGAATGATGAACAGATGATGAGGCTGATTAGAGGAAGATGTTTCAGACTAAATTACAGTGAGATATTGTGTGTTTATCATCAGTGTTGATGCCTCTGAAAATGTATGTGGTTGATTTAAAACATATCAGAGTTTCTGATCGATGTGCAGTCAGTTGTAACTAAAGGAGTGAATAAATAAGGCCTTGTATGGAATAAAGTGGACGTGGAGCGGGATTTGGGAATGTTGTGAAGAGCGCCGTCTGTCAGCAGAAGCCTGAACTGCAATCTACTGTTCAGCAGGAGAGAGGATCACTCAGTAGCGCGAGAAGACCAGACGTTTAAGTAATAACACTTTTAATTACACTGAAGTACTTGTTAGTAAAAGAGTTGACTTGTTTCTAAGTTTTGTTTTAGTTCTTCATACGTAGTTTTTCATTTTTGATGTGGTGTTACTCACATCTCTCCCTATTTCATTAGATCATAATGCTTGAACAACATTTTGATAAGGCTTAATAATGTTGAACATAGTGTTTGAATGAAAGATGATGTTTAATTAGTTTGCTGTATTTCTTTTTTGTACCCTTGCAGTATCAGACTCTGTAGAGTGTGTGTTAAAGTGAGTGTGAGAGGAAAACTGTAGGTGGCAGTGAAGGATCAGAGAGAGCTGAACTGACGTGGAGATTTCCCCAAGAGACGATTCAGTCCACTAATCAGTGTGAACCTCATCTCTCACTCAGGATACACCTGCTGCACCACTCTGTCATTTTAGCTCTATGTAAATGATAAAGTTTCTCTGAGTCATATCAGAATAACAGAGATACAAATGAGTATGTTAATGTATGAGATGTATGTGAACATGTAATATTATTTCATACATAATAAATCCTGCGGTGAAATATGATTCCATTTATTTTATGAATTTATTTGATTATATTTACATTGCAATGTAAGTTAAATTAAGATATAAGGTAATAATGGTAATGCTAAAAATACAGAGTATCAAAAATGCTCAGTATTATGATGTTCATTGATAGTGTGTAAATAGCACATTGTTTTATGATGGTTTTTCATTAAGGTTTTGGACTGCAATGTTGGCTTTTTTTTTGAGTTTGAGTTGGGAGTGTTTTTTTTTTTATGCTTCTTTACTGCAACAATACCACAGAGTCATTATAAACCTAACAGTTTGATGTGCATCAACATTATATGATTATTTGATAAATCTACCAAAATAGCTGTTGTTTGTTTCATTGATGGTCAGCATGCACACGGGCTTAGGCTTCAGCTTAGGTAAGCCTAAGGTTCCTTCCATGCCTGGAACCCGACACAGTATGTTTCAGGGTGGAAAAGAAACTAGGGACGATGGAGTCCCATACGGTGAGTGTTGTAGAGTGACTCCTCCCTCTGCCCCCTCCTGTCTCTCTTATAGCTCATCCCTGCACTCTCTCCTTTATCTGCTCCTCAAGCTGCTCATCTCTTCACTCAGCACAGAGAGTCATCACACACTGACAAGATGCTGCCAGCACTCTGCTCTCTCTTCACTGCTCTCTCATGTAAGATCTCACCACACTGGAGCTCCTCAGCATTCGCCTACATCTAATGTGAGCATCAACAAATGTAACATGGATGCTGCTTTTATTGCAGGTGTCAGTGGTGTGACTGTGGTGACACAGAGGCCTCCTGTTCTCACAGCGACTAAAGGAGAGGAGATCACTATGCACTGTAATCTGGGGACTGGTACTAATGGTGCTGAGTGGTATAAACAGGTTCCAGGAGGAGTTCCACAGTATGTGTTAAGTAATTATCAGAGCTGGAGCTCTCCTAACTATGGATCTGGCTTCTCCTCTCCTAAATTCACATCAACACATTCATCTCAATCAGATTACACTTTGATCATCAGTAATGTGGAGGTAGGAGACTCTGCAGTTTATTACTGTAGCACATGGGACCTCTCTGCTAGTGAGTCTGTATCACAGTGATTCACACTATGACAAAAACCTCCTCACTGCTCACATTTACTTCTGCTTTCATACAACATGAGAATAACAAAAACCTCCCTTTATACTGACGTTGCACAAGTCTTTGTTAAGAGTGAAAAAGGAGAGAACATTAATGTGCACTGTAATCTAAGTCAGATTGCACATTTATCATTAATAATGTGAAAGTAAATCAGGAGCTTCAGGCTCTTTTGTGTTGCACACAGAGCTGTTTGATTACATAATAATGTAACGTATACAGTGACTGTTTGAACAGTGGTGTTTTTTCATCTCTAAACTCCAACACAAGAACTTCACATAACAAATAAGAAGTTAAATGTGGATAAAAGTGTTTGTCTATAGGATTGTGTAGAATCTCTACTCACCACGTCAAACACTCAAAAACATGCAGAAGGTTCCATACAGTGTGAGGAGATACAACATCCTGCACACCAGCACAAAAGAACAGCTGCAGAAAAATACACACCAGCTGCACCGAAGAAAATAATAGAATAACCTGAACAGATAAGATTATATTTCAACAAATATTATTTAATTTTATATTCATTTCAATATGTTTTTAGGACCTAATATTTTAAAGAGCAAATTATATGCTTCACTTATGTATTTGCTGTACAACCAGTTAGAAAGAGTTTTGTCATTTTTCAAGACCAAAAGGTATAGTTTACTTCTGTTCTTGATAAATGAGTTTTATTCCTCTTGTAAAAGTTCACTGGAATGGTACCTTGGTAACTACTAAGTACAGTTAGTTAGGAAACATAATTGTACCATATTCTGTTGAATTTATATATATTTACATTAAATTTACCACAATGCTGTCTTGAATTCAGGCTTTTTGTTTATTTTTTACATTTTTAAATGTTATACAATGTTGTTAGATGTTTTTATTTATAAATGTTTTTTATCCGTGTGAAGTGTATAACTAACAACATGAATAATTTAAAGCCAAGAAATGTACTAAAACATCCATTCATAATTTCTGTAATGCAACATATCCCAAAAACTAAAAAGAGAATACCACACACTAAGTTTCAGAAGTGAATTATAATATAAAATTTAATAAGAAAAATGATCTTCAGGATTACAGGAGTAGGAAAAGGAAAACATTAGTAAAACAATAAATAAAAATAGAGAAAAATAATCTCAACATGTCAGCACATGCAAACGAACCAACATTACCTCACACACAAACGCTTAACTAAGGCAAAAGTTTAAAGAACATCAGCAGGCTTAAAACTCGAGAGAGAGAGAGAGAGAGAGAGAGAGAGAGAGAGAGAGAGAGAGAGAGAGAGAGAGAGAGAGAGAGAGAGAGAGAGAGAGAGAGAGAGAGAGAGAGAGAGAGAGAGACTTTTTTTGACTTTAAAACCCCTTTAATCAACCATTGTCCACAGCATAAGAGCATCACAACCAGCTCAAAATAAAATCACAAATAGCAAATAAAAAGCAAATAAAACAAAAACCAGCTCAGCGGAGCTGCAGAGATCAGTTCACACATTCAACACAAACCCACTGAGTTCATCAGGTTCACAAAGCAACCCCCCTCCCCCCCATTCAGCAAAAAAATAGTCCACATTGTCAATAAGAGTGTAGTAGGTAAAATCAACAAGGAGTCTTTTCAAGATCAATCCTCTGACCATCAGTACTGGGTCAGTACCCCCACGGTTCTCTATTCTATTCCTCCTAGTACACCAGATCGCTAACTTAGCAGCACCATACAAAAAATTCAAAAGAACTACCGTGTTTCTTTTTGAAACAGTGTACTTTGGACCATAAATAAATAAAACATTGTTAAAAAAGCCTAAAAACTTCAAACCCCATTCCTTAATTAAACCCATAATGGGGCCCAAGCATGTACAGTGAAGAAAGACATGAAAAACTGTTTCTGACGTCCCACAGAAAGGACACCCATCTCCCACTAATAGATCAATCCGCGCCGTGTGCCTGTTTGTAGCTAAAATCCCGTGTACAATCCTCCATTGGAGGTCACCCACCCTCTTCTCGATGGGTCTTTTGTACAGGGACCGCCAGCTACCTTTCGGGGAAGAGCCAGCCTGAACAACCTCTGTCCATTTAGACTCTCGCACGTCTTTCAAGCTGTGAAAGTGCAGTACTTTAGTACATGCAATGTACAAAGCCCTCTTGGTGAGAGAGCTAAAGAGACCAAGAGTCAGGGTTCCCAAAGACAAGAGCTTCCCCTGACCCTCCTGCCAGTTTTGCATCTCCGAATCTCTCAAATCTATCTCCAGTTCAGGAAACACAGGCTCTTCACTCTGGCACTGGTCTACAGGGGTCATGTCCAGGTAGTCCCGCACAGGAGAAGACAGATCAGACTTCAGCCGATTCAACATCTGTAGCGCCAGTCGCACTGACCTGAAGCCACCC